GGCTAATGTTTTCCAGGTTTATCCATGTTCTAGCATGTACTGCAACTTCATTCCTTTTTTGTGGCTGAATAATATTCCCTTGTGTTTATCATCAATTGGTAGACATTTGGTTGTTTCTACTTTTTGGCTACTGTGAACAATGCTGCTATGAATATTCATACACACATTTTTGTGTGTAGATGTCTGCTTTCGCTTCTCTTGCTTATATACCTAGAGTGGAATTCCTGTTGTGTGATCTTATTATCTGCTCACTAGCAGAGATAATACAGGGCATTCAGCCCAGTCCTTCATTCAATGCAGGAATAAAAATGATGATTTTTGTTATAGAATATTATCCATTTGCCTCACCTTTCCATTTCCTTTCTTTTCAAATAACCAGGACAGACAGCTGACAATGCCCACTGCTCTGTTTCACCGGCCTCTGCTTTTGCAATAGCCACAGCTGCAGCAGGACATGGGAGTCCACCGGGTGAGTAGAGGAGCAGCTACGTACAGATATGTGACCATTTATATTAAGTCACTGGCCCATGACTGCCAGTGTCTTGATGAGACACTTGGCAGCTCTCACACTGGAATTCTACCACTTTGGGAAAACGAAGCAGAAGGATTGCTTGAGACCAGTAGTTTGAAACCAGCCAGGGCAACATAGAGACCCCATCTCTATAAAAAAGTTTGAAAATTAGCTGGGCATGGTGTTGCATGCCTGTAGTGCCAGCTACTCAAGAGGCTGAGGCAGAAAAATCACTTGGGGCCGGGAGCTTGAGACTACTGTGATCATGGAGCTGTGATCACACCACTGCACTCCAGCCAGGCAGTGGTGTGATCATGTGTATGACCCTATCTCAACCAAACAAAATAAAGTAAAATAATAATAAGAGAATGCAAATTCCTAGCTCTTTCTGAGTCAGTATTTCTGGGAAGAGACTGTCTTTTAAATAAGCATCTTCAGAAATCGCCTTATTTGGCCAGGCACGGTGGCTCACGCCTGTAATCCTAGTACTTTGGAAGGCCGAGGCAGGCGGATCACCTGAGGTCAGGAGTTCAAGACCAGCCTGGCCAACATGGTGAAACCCTGTCTCTACTAAGAATACAAAAATTAGTTGGGCATGGTGTTGCATGTCTGTAATTCCAGCTACTCAGGAGGCTGAGGCAGGAGAATTGTTTGAACCTGAGAGGTGGAGGTTGCACTGAGCCAAGATTGTGCCACTGTGCCCCAGCCTGTGTAACAGAGCAAGACTCCGTCTAAAAAAAAAAAAAACAAAACCGAAAAAGAAAAAAGAAAAGAAATCCCATTATTTGCAACAATATGGATGAACCTGAACGACATTGTATTACCTGAAATAAGCCAGGCACAGAAAGGCAGGTACTGCATGATCTCACTTATATATGGAATCTAAAAAGTCAAACTCATAGAAGTAGAAAGTAGACCAGTGGTTCCCAGGGGCTGGTGGAGAGGAAGGGAAGTGGGGAGCTGTTTGGTCAAAGGATAAAAGGTTCAGTTACACAGGAAGAATAAGTTCCAGAGATCAATTTTACAGCATGGTGGCTATAGTTTAAAAGGTACCGCATACTTGAAAATTGTTAAGAGAGTAGATTTTAGATACTCTCACCACAAAGTATAAGTAATGAGATAACAGATGTTAGTGAGCTTGACTTAATCATTGTTTAATAAATACACATATCAAAACATCACATTGTACCCTGTAAGCATATACAATACAAAATAATCAAATAAATAAATAAATAAATAAGCATAAGCTCCTTCAGGTGAGTCTCACTCAGGTCGTCTGTGGGTTACAGCTTTGAGAAATTCTTTATCAGAGAAGGCTATGTTATTCTTCCTGTGTTGTTTGACAGGGTTCTTCACCCTTTATAACTCAATTACTGAGAACACGTTTCCATTTTAATTGAGTACAATGCTAAAAGCATATGCAAGGTGGGAGGGAGGGCTTGTGGAGTGCGGGGAGCGGGTGGGGGGCAGCTATTGCTTTAGCTGACTCATAATTCATTTCCAGTAGCTCCGTGATTCTTTCTGAGTTGCTGTCAGTTAATTTTCAGGGTAAAGAAAAAGTACTTAAAATAAAAGCACAGTGTTTTAATAGATAAATATTATATTCATTATCTCTTTCCTCTTCTCTCACATGCAAGAAAGACATTATGTTAAAATAAATCTGTAAATAGTTTAGAGCTGGGTGCGGTGGCTCATGCCTGTAATCCTAGCACTTTGGGAGGCCAAGGCAACCAAATCACCTAAGGTCATGAGTTCAAGACCAGCCTGGCCAACATGATGAAACCTCATCTCTACTAAAAATAGAAAAATCAGCTGGGCATGGTGACACACGCCTGTAATCCCACCTACTTGGGAAGGGGAGGCAGGAGAATCGTTTGAACCTGGGAGGTGAAGTCTGCAGTGAGCCTAGATGGTACCACTGTACTCCAGCCTGTACTCCAGGTGACAAGAGTGAAATTCCATCTCAGAAGTAAATAGGTAAATAAATAAATAAATAATAATAAATCTGTAAGTGGTGTAAATAGCCTTGTTGCTATGTCTTCACCTAAACTAAACCTATGGGCTCTAAGCATCATGATTTGTAGAAACATGAGAGATGGCATATTTTGCTAATTAGCCACTTTTCACCTTTGTAGTAACAAAGGAGTCCTTTCCAAAGCTTCTGAACTAATATTTATAATAGTAACTAGTAGGTATCATCTGTGTGATTTTTTTTTTTTTTCAAAATTGAGGACTGAAAAGAAATGTTCTCTAATGGACATTATTGTAGTAATTTATATATTATATATTATTGTATATATTTTATCTAAATAGAAATTTTGCAGATTGACCGTATTCTGCTTCTTCAGCATTTTGCCATACATGATTCACTGGAGATATGTCAAATTGGGTTGTGGTTTGCCCCAAATATTCTTGAAACCTTTCCCCAAAAGTCCCATCAGCACACCACAAAGCAGCCTATAATGGTCAAAATATTAATCTTGTCGATACAGTTGGCTTCTATGATTATTTACATTCTGTAACAATTAACATTTGGGGGGAAATAAGAGAGGCTGTACTAGGCTTTCAGAAGAGTTATTGTCAATTTGCTAAGACTTTCTCCTATATTTTGTTCTCATGAGCTAGTCTGTCTTTGGAAAAAGTGAAGGACAAGAGCATCTCACAGATTTCCTAATTTAAGTATGGTTTGTGAGGGAAAATAAATTTGGGGTTTTTCTGAGATGAGCCCATTCCCCGTTTGCTGGAAGCTGGGTAGGGGGAGGTCCTTTTTTCACCCAAGATTGCAATGAAGATTAAATCATTCTAAGGTGCTTTAAAGAATGGCTTTCTGACTAGCTTTCCCAGGTATATTGGGCCAGAAGGAAAACGTAGCCCGAACAGCCAGCTCTTTCTCCCTTTTTGAAAGCCTGCTGCTTTTCTGTTGCCTTTTTTCCTACTTCTCTCCTGCAGCTGAGACGGTCTTAGGAAGAAAAGTCCTCTTCACAGAGCTGGCCCCTAGCGGTGCTTTCTGAGTAGGGCAGCACGGACTTGCTAACAGACTCAGTCAGTGTTGCTAGGTGTGGGGAAGCCTGGACCCTGGGTGAGCAGACTGCTGTTTTATGACTGTGCTATCTCTCATGCAGTCTGAAGCCACATGACTTGATTTTAGAAGTAAAGGCAATAAGGGATTGGATTCAACAGTGCTCGTGGCTCTGCTGTAAAGGCAGCAAGTGGCACAGGGGTCACTTTTAGGCTAGTGGCAGTAAGAAAGGGGGTTCTCTTTTGGAGTGGAGACCAGTGCATTCCTGGGGCTCAGCCACTCAATGGAACTGGTCCCTTAGCAGATTCCACCTGCCTGGGAGAACTGGGCAGAGAGCAGAAGATATAATCATAACAGACACAGAAGGGCTAAGAAGAACATCTAAGAAGATGATCCAGCAGATAACCTGGATTTATTGGCTAGCCAGAGAGAGCATGGCATTGCCCAGGGAGGGCTAGACCTAGATACCTAGACAAGTGTTCAAAGGAAGAGAGTGCTGGATAAGAGTCAACTCACAAACAGACTTTGTATCTCCTTTGTGAATCAGGAATTACCAGCCTGGATACATCCAGAACCCAGTGAGTTGCAAAGGCAAGCAGAAGAAAATATTGCACAGACAAATAAACACCCCATGCTTTCATCAGTCTCTGCAGGCTTCCTGTCTGCTTATCCGGCTACGATACAGATACACTTGGGGTTGCAGCTCTACTGTGTCCTGGCTCATAACAGGAAACAAGGTATAGCTCAGCCAAGCCAGAGGTCTGCAGTGTGGGTTTCCATGTTTCAGGTTCTTCTGCAGATTCCCTCTTGCTTTAATACTCTCCCAACCCCTCCCCTGACCCTTGTCCATCAAAATATATAGGAATCTGGTACCTCTGAGTTATAACTGTCAATTAATTATTATGTTTTCAAACATTAACTCTAGGCATTTGCTTATTAAACCATTTCTCTTTAATTATTGCTTAGAAAACTTTCTTACTGCATTAAAAAGAATTTCAAATTCAATAAGAGGGAGGACACCAAATTTTCTTTGCCAGGAGGTCAAGACAAGATGTTCCTGCCTGACTCCAGAGGCAAGAAAAACTGATTTTATTTGTGGATGGTGTCCTGGGATCTGTTTGGGATCGCCTGCCCTGCTGCTGAAGTCTCAGCCTGCCTAATTTCCACATGCACTAGAAAAGCCTGGTTTTCAGTCTTTTTTGGAGGGGGGTTGGGGGGGAACAGAGTCTTGCTGTATCACCCAGGCTGGAGTGCAGTGGTGTCATTTTGGTTCACTGAAACATCTTCCTCCCAAGTTCAAGCAATTCTCCTGTCTCAGCCTCCCAAGTAGCTGGGGGCTACAGGCATGTGCCACCATGCCCAGCTAATTTTTGTATTTTTAGTAGAGACGGGGCTTTGCCATGTTGGCCGGGCTGGTCTTGAACTCATGACCTTGGGTGATCTGTCTGCCTTGGCCTTCCAAAATGCTAGGATTACAGGTGTGAGCCACTGCACCTGGCCTTAATCTCTTTTTTGCCCCCTCTTTTCTTTTCTTATCTGGAGCCTCCCCTTCCCAAAATTGGATGGGTCTCTTCCTTCCATGTCATGCTCCCTTTGTTTACCCGAGTTACCACTATCTAGATAACCCAAATCCTGCCCCTCAAAACTCGAGATTTGAATGTTATGCTTTCTGTGAATGTGGTAACCTTTCAGGGAATTTTCACTGGATTTTTATGTAGACCTATAGGTGGTATCCAGGATTCTAGTGATGTGCTTTCACTATTACTTCTCTCTCTGTTTATAGTGTTTCTGTGACAAAGAAACACATTGTAGGAATGTAGCTTTTAGCAGAAGGATTCTTGTTTCATGTTTCCTGATTAATTTCAACTCCCTGCCAACACTTTCTGTCCCTGCTTTATTTTTTTCTTCAACATTTACCACTATTTGACATACTATATGTTTTACTAATTTATCTTGCTTATTATCTATTTCTCCAGTAGAATGTAAGATCCACGATGGCAGGGGTTTTTACCTATTTTATATACTGCAGTATCCCCAGTATCTAGAATAGTACTGTACATGTAGTTAATGATCCATAAATGCTTACTGAATGAATTAATGAATCAATGACTGAATCCTCTTACTTGCAATAGGGAATATTCAGTGCAGAAAAGAAAAAACTGTACCGTTCATACATTTTTACAGTGCTTTGATTTTTAAAAAATTTTTTGTTGTTATTTCTAGGACAAAAGAGTTTTGTCTTCTCCAGCTAACCTGGGGAAGTGATACCAGTCTCTTCAAGTCAGGAAGCAGGTTTTGAGTGTCTTTTGTGCTTAGTATCACCTTTTTAGATACCCATAACCCTGAGCTAGCAGCTGGTAGACTTGTAAATGAGCCTCATTGTCTTGGTCTTCATTTGATGTTAGACTTTTCCTCACACTCATGATTGGAAAGTCCTTGAGATATGTCTGGACCTGAGGCCTAGGGTCACCCTAAATGTTTGCTGCCAATCAGAATGCAAGCACTAACTAAACTGTTAAAGCTTCATGCTGTGATATTAACAATAATTGGTTTTGTGTTGCAATCCATACCCTTTTCTTTCTATCCAATAGAGGTTTTTTTCTATCCAATAGAGCAAGGCTTTTCTTTCTATCCAACAGAGGTACCATCATTGATCTACAAATTAGGCGCAGTTACAGATGGATCCTGAATTTGTAGGCCTGATGTTTATACAATTTTGGGAAACACACCTCAAGGAAAATAATATAAAATTATAAATTATAAACCTTTAGTGCACCTCCCAGGGCTTTGCAAGAGGCCCATACAAATTGAGAAGGCCTAAAGCTTAAGCTTTCTTGACCTCCTGATAAATCTCCTTTTAAGTCCAATCCAGAAAATTCTTGGAATCACAACAGCTACAAGAAATTTTATATGCTGAGGAGTAAGGGTGGGGGCATCAGTGATAGCCAGTGAGTCATTAGCCATCTTTCTTCTAAGTTGGTCCAGGTGGTATGGTGAAAAAAAGCAGAAAATACTATCAGTTAAACATGAACAATTGACCAGGTATTAATATGTGCACTTTTATGGAGATGAGTTGGATTAGTTGGTAGTGGTGAGTGGAACAGAATGATGTATGTACTGCTACCCTGATTTTCTTCCCCAATGTCAAATAAGCCTCCCTTCCATAGGGCTTTGACTCTATACAGGTTAAGATTGAAACAAAGGATGGCTGATGGTGTTCCTTTGTGCCACCACACTGATTGAAATGTATTTGCAGGCACCTGCTCAAATTTAAGAGCTCTGCATAAAGTAGAAATACAAATGTGTGCATTTCAAATGGCTGCTGATACAGGGAAACTGCAGGTGCAGTTTGGATATAGTTATGATATGAATAGAAATGCAAATTCAATGAATAAATATATCAGAACACATCATTGCACTTACTGTACACCTGAAGTTGTAGGATTAATTATAGAGTTTATGAAATGATATAAAATGCAGTATGAAATATGAGGTGGGTTATTTTTATTAGAGTAGAAATAATGGCAGTGGAAATACTATAAGCAACTCCTGATTATCTGTGAGCAGATTATATGTTTTACTGTTCTATGTAAGTCAAAGTAAATTAACAGAGTAGAGGAATGGTTGAATGCACTTACAGGAAAATTAATGACACTGTTAACAATCACTTAGATAAATAGTGACTCTTTTATTGGTGGTTACCTGGTACTTGTAAAGTAGGGAATTTATGATCTCTTTTTTCTTCTGTAAAATCAGTCATGGCTTGTATAGTAAATAGTAGATCTGAAGTTGGTATGAGTTGGGCTCGTATCAGTTTTGTAAAATACTGATATCTGGTCCCACACCTAGAGATTCTGAGTTGATTGGTCTGGGGTACATGAGGATTCAGGAATTTTTAAAGTTGCCTAAGTGATACTAATGTGAAGCCAAGCAGGAGAAATCCTGGACCAGATAGAGATGTGTATGTTGGAATGCGCGCGCACGCATGCTTGTGTGTGTGTGTGTGTGTGTGTGTGTGTGTGAATATTTTACTGAGCTAATGTCAGTTAAGGGTAAAAATTTGGATGTTTCAAAATTTCATATTAGATTTGGATGTAGATGAATTTCATGATTATTTGATTAATTCAGTGGAAGGATGTGGTTAAAACATCTTAATCCACACCCTCAGGCAATTTAGGGACTATGTCTGGATTTTATTCTACAGTCTAGTATGAATTTACATATTTGGTGTTTTAGGTGTAGATGTGGCAGGTGGGCTGGATGTAAGGAGTGCTAGACCGAGGCCTGTGTGTGTCGCCTTGCACAGTTTCTCTCTGGGCCTGTTGTTTCATGATGGAAGCCCGAGAGCTTAGCTGGTGCACTGGCTTCCAGGTGTGATCTCTGGGCCTATAGCAACAGCGTAACCTGGGAACTTACTGGAAAAATAAATTCTGAGGTCACACATCGTTCCTACTGAATCAGCATTTCTGAGGCTGGGGCACAGCATGTGTCTTTTACAAGCTCTTTGGTTGATTCTGTTACATACTAAGGTTTGAGAACCAGTGAACTAGTATAATGTCTGAGCTGCCTTCCCTGTTTAAAAATCTGACTCTGTATTACTTGTAGTAGACTATGCAGTAGATGAAAAACCTAAATTTGAATCTCTTCCTAAACATTAAGTACAACTCAACCTTTATCTTTTGGTAGTTTTTGCATAGTATGCATAATTGATGTTGTTCCAAGTTGTACATTTAAATTCTCACTTTTCTTCATCATTTAAAATATGGAAGATTGCCTAGAGTTCTGCATCATGTTAGAAAATCTTTTTATCTCAAAGTAATAGAAACTGTAGTAGTAATTTTTCTCTAGTTACATTTTTATAACAGCTTTATTGAGCTATAATTCACATACCATACAGTTCACCTATTTAAAGCCTACAGTTTAAGCTGGGTGTAATGGCTCATGCCTGTAATCCCAACATTTTGGGAGGCTGAGGCAGGAGGATTGTTTGAGCCCAGGAGTGCAAGACCAATCTGGGCAACATAGTAATACCCCATTTCTAAAAGAAAAAAAAAATAAAGCTGCATATGGTGGCACACACCTGTAGTTCCAGCTATTCAGGAGGCTAAGGTGGAAGGATCTTTTGGGCCTGGGAGGTGGAGGCTGCGGGGAGTCATGATCGTGCTACTGCATTCCAGCCTGGGCAGCAGAGCAAGACCCTGTCTCAAAAATAATAATAAATTTAAAAGTCTACAGTTCCATGGATGCCCATTAACTGTTAGCAGTCACTCCCCATTTGTCTCTTCCTCTAGCCCCTTGCAACTGCTAATCTCTTTTCTGTCTCTTTATACTTACTTCTTCTCAACATTTAATATAAATGGAATTATTCATGCAATATGTGCCCTTTTGTGACTGGCTTCTTTTACTATCATGTTTTTGAGGTTCAACCATTTTTGTCACATACATCAGTCACTTGATCCTTTATACTGTGGAATCGTGTTCTGTTGTATGGATATACCACATTTTATTTAACCATTCATGAGTTAATGGACATTGAGGTTATCTCTACTTTTTGACTGTTGTGAATGATGCTGCTATCAATGTTCACATACAAGTTTTTGTGTGTATGTTTGTTTGCATTTATGTGAGTACCTACCTAGGATTGGATTTGCTAGGTTGTGTGATAAGATTATGCTCAACTGCTTGATAAACTGTCAAACTGTTTTGGAAAGTGGCCATACCATTTTGCATTTCCGTCAGCAGTGTGATTGAGTTCCATTTTCTCCACCTTCAAGTAATATTACATTACTTCCAGTGTAGTGTGGGTACCTTATAACAGAGTAGTCCCAATTCTTCCCTGTAATATTACTGTGATTTATTTTACTTATCTGTATCCTATAATCATCCAGTACATTGTAATCATAATAATAATTATTACTATTATTTTGATATGGAGTCTCAAAATTATATGAAATATTCAGTGCTTTATTGAGATGGAATCTCACTCTGTCGCCCAGGCTGGTGTGCACTGGCGTGATCTTGGCTCACTGCAACCTCCGCCTCTCAGGTTCAGGCAATTCTCTCTGCCTCAGCCTCCCTACTATTATTATTTTAAGCAAAGTTATCTTTTAGATCATTAAAAAATAAGAAAAACAGAAGATTTTCCTTTATCTTCATTTTTTCCTTCTTCAGTGCTCTTCTCTTGTTTATATAGATCCAAGTTTCTGACCTATATCATTTTTCTCTCCCTGAAGAACTTCTTTTAACATTTCTGGCAGGGCAGGTCTGCCAACAATGAATTCCTCCAGTTTTTATTTGCCTGAGAAAGTCTTTATTTCTCCTTCACTTTTGAAGCATAATTTCACTGAACATAGAACTCTAGCTTGGGGTTTTTTTTCTTTCAACACTTTAAATATTTCACTGCAGTCTTTTCTGATGTGACGTTGTCATTCTTGTCCTTGTTCCTCTGTTGGTAAGGCGTTTGTTTCAAGAACTTCTCTTTCCCCTTGGTTTGCTGCAGTTTGAATATGATATGCCTAGATGTGGTTATCTTGGTATTTATTCTGCTTGGTGTTCTCTGAGCCTCCTGGATTTGGGTTTCATGTCTGTTATTAATTTTGGAAAGCTCTTGCCATTATTAATGCAAACATTTCTTTGACTCTATTTTTCAGCACACCAACTACCTGTTTGTTATACCCTTTGAAATTGTCCCACAGTTCTTGGATGTGCTCTTCTGTTTGGGTTTCTTCCCCCTTTCTTTTTTATCTTTGCACTTCAGTTCGGAAATTTTCATTGGCCTCTTTTCAAGGTCACTATTCTTCCCTCAGCTATGCTGAATCTACCGATAAATCAGATAAAGGCATTCTTCATTTATATGTCTGTATTTTTTATTTCTAGTGTTTTTCTTTGATTCTTAGTTTCTATTTACCTGTTTACATTACCTATCTGAACTTGCATTTTGTCTGCTCTTTCCATTAGAACCCTTAACATATTATAGATATTTCTCCTCTTATGGCTCAACTTACAACTTTTTGACTTTATAATGGTGTGAAAGTGATGCACTTTCAGTAGAAACTATGCTTTGAGTATGCATACAACCATTCTGTTTTTCACTTTCAGTACAGTATTCAATAAATTATATGAGATATTCAGTGTTTAATTGTGAAATGGGCTTTGTGTTAGATGATTTTGCCCAGCTGTAGGCTACTGTCCTGAGCACATTTAAGGTGGGCTAGGCTAAGCTATCATATTTGGTAGGTTAGATGTATTAGATGCATTTTTGGCTTACATTATTTTTCACTTAAGATGGGTTTATTGGGATGTAACTCAGCCATAAGTTGAAGAGCATCTGAAATCATAGTTACTTTAAATTCACTGTCTGCTAATTCCAAGGTCTTTGTCACATCTAAGTCTGATTCTGATGCTTGCTTTCCATCTGTTATGAACTGCACTGTGTCCTCACTAAATTCGTATGTGGAGGTCCTACCATTACCCTAGAATAGGACTGCACTTAAAGGTAAGGTCTTTAAAGAGGTCATTAAAGTTAAATCAGGTCATATGTGTGAACCCTCTAAGAAGGCTATTAGGACTTACACATAGACTAAGGGGTGACCATGTGAAGACACAGGAAGAAGATGGCCACCTACAGGCCAAAAAGAGAGAGGCTCAGAAGAAACTAAATTTGCTGACTCCGAGATCTGGACTCTTAGTCGCCACAACTATGAGAAAACACATTTATTTAAGCCACCAATTCTGTGGTATTTTATTATGGCAGCCTGAACAAATTAACAGAGTCTCTTTAGACTATGTTTCTTCTTGCCTTTTGGCATGCCTTGTGGTTTTTTGTTGAGACCCAGGCAGGTTATATCAGATAATAGAGATACATAGTCCTTTAAGTGAAGATTTATGTCATCTGGCTAGAGCTTGGGCTGTGCTTGACGTTTGCTTCAAATTCCTTCAGTTCCCTATTTGTTTTTCCTCTCGACTTGGGGCTTTCCTAAGTACTCCTCCTCAGAGAGAATCTGTTCTCCAGCTCTTTCTCTTGTAATCTGCTGTTATCTTACTGGGTCTCTGTTGGTAGGGTGGGGTGATGGTAGGGAGGGGGACTGTTCTGTATCTTCCAGTGAAATCTCAGTGTTTTAATGAACTGGCGTCTTGAAGCTGTGACCCTTACAAATGTTTCTCCAGTGATACAGCTTCTTTTCCCACTGCCCCCACTTCTCTGGCTGCAGCATTCCCAATTTATTTCCTTGAATCCCTGATAATTGTAGACTATATTATTTTCCCTGTAGCTAAGAGGAAGGTGACAGGGGACTGGAATGGGAAAAATGTCTTTTTCCTAGTGGGATAAGGCCTAGGCAAAGCCTTTTTCCCTGAAGAGTGGGCCTTCATTGTGGAGAAGGCCCTGGGCGTATTTTCAGTGTTATTCTTCCCCTCTCCTTGCAAGAGCCATGAAGAGATCTTTCTCCAGTGTTTACTAGGAGGACTTGTTATGATTCTTGGAGGTAAAGTCCTCAAATGTGTGGCGGCCCGCCTAAGAATGTAGTTTTCAAGTGTCTCACTGTCATCCTGGTCCACATTCAACCTCCAAAAGTTCGTCAATACGGCCATTCAAGTGTCGCTACAGGTCATGGCTCCCGCAACTTCTGATCCAGGTAGGCAGACCGGTGTCTCTGTGGATGTGCTTGTTTTGTTTTTTTTCCAGCGTTTGTGATGACTATTTCCCTTGAAACCTCAATTTTCTGATGTGTCCAAGAAAAGTTGTTGATTTTCAGTCTGTTTCATTCTTCTTGTGTTATGGATGGATGTGATAACTTCTAAGTTCTTTATGTGTCAGAGCTGAAACTCAGATACTCAACTTGGTGGGATCTTTATTGTGATCTATTAATTTTGTAGGCGAAATTGGAGAGAACTGCACGTCTTAACAATACTCAGTCTTTCAATCCATGAACTAGAAATGTCTCTTCATTGACTGAGATCTTCTCTCACTTCTCAGAGATGTTTTATATTTTTTAGCATACAAATCTTGTATTTGTTGTGTTGCACTTATTCCTAAGTATTTGACCCTTTTTGGTGTTATTGTGAATAGAATTGTTTCCTTTTATTTTTAGTTTGTTGCTAACATATAGAAATACAAATGATTTTTCTAGATTGTCTTGTTTTCTATAACCTTGCTAAATTCATTTATTAGTTCTACTAGGTTTGTTTTCAAAGATTCTTTAGGATTCTCTACATATAGAATCATTTCTTCTATGAATAAAGATAGTTTTATTTCTTTCTTTCCAATCTATATGCCTTTCATTTTCTTTCTTGCTTTTTTTTTGGAAACAGAGTCTTGTTCTGTCGCACCCAGGCCGGAGTGTGGAGTGCAGCAGTGCATCTCAGCTCACTGCAACCTCTGCCTCCCCTGTTCAAACAATTATCCCACTTCAGTCTCTTAGGTAGCTGGGATTAGGGGACCCGCCACCATGCCTGACTTATTTTTTGTATTTTTAGTAAAGACAGAGTTTCACCATATTGGCCAGGCTGTTCTTTCTTGCTTTATTGCATCAACTGGACCAAAATGAACCCTTGTAAGCCTGTGTTTTCAGCTGCAAGTGCTTCTTTCAAGTCCTTGTCAAGCATGGGAACTATACACTGGTGATGATATAGCTGGTGCTCATTTTTTACAGTAATAAATATAATGATATAAACATACAGTCAGCTCACAAAAGGCACCTATCAAAATAATCCCACAAATCTCTTTCTGTACACCTCCCATTGGAATTCAGACTTTTTTTGTTTTTTGAGATAGAGCGTTGCTCTGTCACCCAGGCTGTTGTGGAGTACAATGACACAGCATAGCTCCCTGCAGCCTTGAACTCCTGGGCTCAGGTATTCCTTCCACCTAAGCCTCCTGAGTAGCTGGTACTTTAGGTATGCACCACTACATCTGGCTAATTTTTTAGTTTCTTGTAGAGACAAGGTCTCTCCACATTGCCCAGGCTGGTCTCCAACTCCTGTCCTTAAGTGATCCTCCTGCCTTGGCCTTCTAAAGTGCTGGGATTACAAGTGTTAGCCACTGTGCCTGGCTGGAACTTGACTTTGAAACTAGATTAGCTGTACCTTAATAGGCCTTGCTGTTCAGAGTCATTGGGTAATATCTAAATAAAAGCATCCAGGGATACTTTTATTTTCATTCGCTTGTTCTTTTATACCACTCTTCAACAGATTAAGAACACCTTTTTGTTTTTTCCTACTGGAGGGTATCCTAGTTTGGGACATATTTTCCATTGTTTTTTTTAAAATATATTTAAAATATTTAAAAATTATTTCACTAGGCTAGGTGTGGTGGCTCACACTTGTAATCCCAGCACTTTGGGAGGCCAGGGCAGGCAGATCACCTGAGGCCGGGAGTTCGAGACCAGCCTGACCAACATGGAGAAACCCTGTATTTACTAAAAATACAAAATTAGCTGGTCATGGTGCCACATGCCTGTAATCCCAGCTATTGGGAGGCTGAGGCAAGAGAATCCCTTGAATCCGGAGGTGGAGGTTGCAATGAGCCGAGATTGCACCATTGCACTCCAGCCTGGGCAACAAGAGTGAAACTCTGTCTCAAAAAAAAAATTATTTCACTAAAGACCAGTAGCTTAACAGTAATCCCAAGTCCTATTTTTAAACACACACACACACATACATGCATGCACACTCACATTTTGCTTGAAATTAGAACTGTGGAACTGCAGAGCTGCAGTTTTCACTGGTGTGAGTAGAGTACACTCCTAAGCCTGCAAAGCAGCTAGATTGCTCATGGCAGGTGGTCTTTGCATTCTCTTCCTGGAAAGATGCCATGCAGCAAGCTAGATCACTGAGATATCTTTGCTGTGCTTTCCAAGCAGACCCAAATCCTTGTTCCAGCTGGCCTGTGGACCTTCTTGCCTGAATGTGCTGTACTGCCAAGTTCCTTTCTCTGCACTTTCCTTTCCCAGGTTCCCTGCAGACCACTCTCTTCCATTACCGTCTCTTCTCAGCAAAGGGACAATGTAGTTGATTGTGCCTCCCATGGCTTAACTGCTGCTTTATTACATTACTGTTTCATCCATGTTGAGGCCAGGCAAGTAACCTAAGTAGGGATGGAGAGCTGTTGCCGTGTCTGGAGGGCACAGCCACTGCCCAGCCCCTGCCGATTGTTGCTATGAGGGGCTGCAGGACTAGGGCTGTCAGATGGGTTTCCTCTGTTTGTTTGTTTGTTTTTTTTCAGCCAGAAATCTGGATATTTATGTGAGATCTTCTGTTTTGAAATGTTGGAAGTGAATTCACACTCTTTAAAAATATTGTCCAGGCCAAACACAATACTTCCATGGGCTACATTTGGCTGTGAGCCACCAGTGTGTGACCTTAGATTTACTGTAATCACTTACAGCTGGAGTTGTAGGTTGCTACAGCTAAGATTTCCAGAGACACTCCTAAACATGAGCAGTAAACTCCTGAATCTCTTCAGTGCCACCCCATGTATCTTCTGTTCCTTTTACTGGGTGATTTTACAAAAGTTGATCTCTTCTCATGCACTGTTCTTGACTACTTTCGCTTTCAGGGGATAATCTGATCTCAAAGGTCTAAGCATCCCTCACTATGGAAGGGGCACGGTGGGGACCATCTCTCTTCATCTCATGTTATAGATTCTGAAGCAAGTGTGGCATCTGGAGTGAGGAAGGGTCTTGCCCAGGTTCTCATAGTTACTGAGAATGAGACTCAGATCTATCCACTACTAAACGACTGCTTTCTTTGCTCTAATGTAGCCTCTAATCCACATTAACTTCAAAAACAGCAAGAGTTTGGGAAGCTTGAATTGCTTTTGTTATTAACTCTTGCTTCTGCCTTTGTCTGCAGCATATCCATTTCTTTCCATCTTTTTCCCACCTCTGTATCTACCTAGCATTCCCTTAAGTGACAGATATAGCAGTTTGGGAACTCCAGAGAGACGAGCCTGGGGGAAATTAGTAGTCTATGGATGAGATCTTAGTTGACCAACAGTTAGCATTGAAGGATCTGTGATTTCTTTCTCAGCATTGCAGAAATCAGAGCCTTAGTACAATGATATGATCTGGTTAGAGGAAGCATGTGTTTTTGTTTTGAGAATTGGATTAAATTTGCAGTGAGATATTGATTACTGTGAATTAAGTTGATGTCACGTATATACCCTGCTGTCTACAGTCTCTCAGGATTTGTGAGAACACTCAACACTGTTTAAATAGCTTAATGGCATGGATAAACTTATAAGAAAGGCACGGAATCTGGGCTTTTTCAAGGGTCTAGATTTTAAGCTAAAATGGAAATTTCAGGCAGGAATTACAAATCAATTTTCTCTTTCAAAATCAGAAGCTTAATATCATGTAGATATTTTACTGCATTGATTTCCCAGTGGAGTGTGGATGGGGTAGAATAAGAACAGCCAGGGGCTTCCTCAAAATATACCTATCCCCGTGGGGATTCTGAGTGGCCTCCCAGAGGCAAGCACTCCAAAAGAAAGAGAGATGTTATTGATGGAAATGTGCTACACATGTGAATGGTGCAAAAACAGACAAGGCTAAACATCACTGCTCTGCTATCTGCCAGCCCTAAAAAGAACTAGGCTCAGCTTCTGAATTCCATGTTCTATCTTCTGGTTAGTCAGGGCATAATGGGAAGCAGGCTGCCTATCTAACCTGTTTTAGCAATGATATTCAGAAGTCTAAGGTCAAAATGTTGGCTGCATGCCATGTTTCTCATATGGGACCCTCACCATCTTTTCATTTTTGGTTTGAGCCCACCCTTGCCTTATTTTTTATTCATCTCCTTTTTCTGTATCATGCTCTTTTTACCTTGCTAGGTTTTCACATTTTGGAGTTCTGTTCCTGTTTTACTGCAATACACTCTCTTGTTAGGACTGGCCATGTGCTTTACAGGACCCAATATGAAATGAAAATGCAAGTCTCCCTGTTGAAAAAATTATTAAGAATCTCAAGACAGAGACAGCAGGGCATTTAACCAAGCATGAGACCTTCTAAGCATGGGCTGTGTGTGACACAGGGCTGTACACCGCGAAACTGGCCCTGCCTCTTGCAGTCTTGTCAGGAGTCCAGCAGTCTCCTAATGCATCCAACTGGGTCCTGTAGTAAATTGCTCTCAGGATGTGGCCTCCAATGCATTTCTAGGATTATATCTTGGTTCTGTAGAAGTTTTCTATAGTGAAAAATATATTCATAGAAGACAAATTCCTTTATTTTAAAGACAAAAAAAATCTTAGACTGGGAGAGACCAATTAGAAAGACAAAAAATACCTAAACATAGAACTTCTGATTCTTTGAAGAAAATCCTTTTTTTTTTTTGAGATAGAGTCTCGCTCTGCCACACAGGCTGGAGTGCAGTGACGCAATCGCCACTCACTGCAGCCTCTGCCTCCTCAGTTTAGATGATTCTCCTACTTCAACCTACCAAGTAGCTGGGATTATAAGCATGTGCCACCATGCATAGCTAATTTTTGTACTTTTTGTAGAGACGGGGTTTCATCATGTGGTCCAGGCTGGTCTTGAACTCCTGACCTCAGGTGATCCACCCACCTTGGCCTCCCAAAGTGCTGGGACTAGAAGCATGAGCCATCACACCTGGCCTGAATAAAATACAAATTTTTAAATAATAACATACCGTGAGATACTTTTAACAATGCAAGAATGCTGAAAATAATCTCTGATGAGTCAGAAAGACTCTCACTATCTAATGGTGATTCAGAGTAACCATAAAACAAAAATTATCATCATATAAGACTAAAAAAATTCTGGATTCCTGGACTTTTTGGTTATTTGAACCTTTATAATAAGGGCAATAGGACAAATAAGCAGCAGTGGTCATGTCAATATTACACAAAGCTAAAAATTATTATGCAGGAAAGTTAGAAATAGTAAACAGCCTCAAAAATGTACAATGAAAAGTGAAGTTTCTCAATGAATTTTTTTGGGAGAAATAACCAATGATAATGTTGTAATTATGTAGCATTTAATCAGCCTCATATATTAAAAGGATGTAACAAGATTTTAGTTGCAAAATTTTTTGAACTAGTATGTCAAAAATTAAATGGGCTAGTCAAAGTAATCTATGGAAACCTACTACTTTTATATGGTTGGTGGTGGAAGTCCACACAAGTAAACCAAACCTTAAAACTTCTAAGGTCTATGGTAAGGGAGGAAGGGGCTTTTCATGAGCCAGGAAAATGTCCTTTTAGACTACAGGTCCTGTGTGTGTTCCTTATTTATAGGTCAGATGTGATTAGCACAGGTTGTTCCTTTACTGGCACTACAGCCCATGGCTTTACCATCAGTTAACCTTTTTAACTGATTGTGAATGCATAGCAGTTATGGGTCATTTTTATAGAGATGAAGCTCCCAAAGCTTCACCTGCTCATCTTGCAAACTTCTCCTATGCTGTCCAGTTGGGCATTTCTGTATATAAATTGAGTGGTTGCACTTATTATCGACATAGCAATGACAGTAATTTAGAGTTGTATATTTCAATAGGCATGCAATATACTGAGCAATGGTCCGAGTCTTACATATGTTAACTTATGTGTGAAGTAGTTAATATTACTATACCCAGGTTCCAGTAGAGGATACAGAGAGGTAAGTGAATCACCTAAGGTCACTTAGGTCACATAGGGAGTAAGTAACAGATTTGAATCCTGTCATCTGGCTCTTCTAACCACCACCCTATTCTGCCTGGATTTCATCAATACTTTATTGCCTTGGCCCAGTGCACACTTGATGTTTAAAGTACAAGTGAAGAAAGGGCCACAGTCTAACCTGTCACCAGCCTAACCTCTGCCCTATACATAGAGGGCATAGCTGGAACCTTATATTTGGGTTTCTGTAATGCTGCCATTTTGTTTAGGAGGGATATGAACCTTTCTCTTGGATGGTCTGGTGGTTTTAAAAATATACCACGAAATTCTTTTCTACTTCTCCCTTCAGGAAATGGTGCTAAATTTCCCTCTTTAGTGTGGGCTGGACTTAGTAACTTGCTTCTAGCAAATAAAATAAAGCAAAAGTGACCGTGTGTGACTTTGGGGCCTAGGTCCTCAAAAGCTCAGTGCCCTCCATCTTGGTCAGTCTCTCTCTTGGATCACTTGCTGTGGGGAGAACCAGCTACCATGTCATGAGGAAAGTCGCACAAGGAAAAAAACTAGGATCTAGGTCTGCCAACAGCCATGTGAGTGAGCTGGGAGGCAGACCTTGCAGCCCCATGCAGGGTGTGATGGCTCATGCTTCTAGTCCCAGCACTTTGGGAGGCCAAGGTGGGTGGATCACCTGAGGTCAGGAGTTCAAGACCAGCCTGGACCACATGATGAAACCCCGTCTCTACAAAAAGTACAAAAATTAGCTATGCATGGTGGCACATGCTTATAATCCCAGCTACTTGGGAGGTTGAAGTAGGAGAATCATCTAAACTCAGGAGGCAGAGGCCGCAGGCTTTCGGATGAGTGCAGGTCTGGTGGACATCTGGTCTCCAATGCATGAGGAACCCCGAGCCCAAGCCACCTAGCTAAGCCTCCGAATTCTTGTCCTAAAGAAACTGTGAGATAATAAATGTTTGTTGTTTTAAGTCTCTAAATTTTAGGGTGATCTGTTATGTAGTAATGGATAACTCATGCAGGTGGCATCATGGTAGCCAGTAAACTTTCACCAAATTATTCATAATCACATTGAACTTAAGGAGTGTGTTTTCGGTTTTGACAGAGAAGCATTTCTGGGTGTTGCCTGTGGAACAGAGCACCCTGGGCTTATACTCAACCAAATATTTTGAAATTGAGGGAGTATATTTGAAATGAACATGTAGCTTAAATCTGCTTTCTATTTCAAGGTCTCTGAATAGTCTTTCTCTTCTCTTGTCACCTGTAGTGCTCTGAATTGAATAGACTCACTTTTTTTCTGCTGTTTGAGAGCCTAGAGCAGTTTGATTTTAACACAATTGTTGCTTAGCAATAGGAAGGAACTGAATGGTTCCACTCTATTCTGCAAACCGAGAGGAGCCTCCCTGTGTAGCTATTGTCTGTCTGTAATGCTGAATCTAAAATTGTAATTATCATTTGAAAATGACATTGAAGCTGGCCTATGTGACACATTATACTTAACCTAGCATCTCAGTTGCCCAGGGAGTTAGACTGACGCAGTTTGAGGTCCCTTGTAGACAAGCTAGTCTCTTGGAATTATGAGATATTTAGAAGTCTGAGACAAAGCTGGAAAAAAACTAGTAAATTCCTCATGGGTAGGCAAACAGGTGGTTTGTATTCACCATATATTTATTTTGTGATTCTGGGACCAAAAACTTGGCTCTTAAATTGTTGTGACTACAATCTGGGCCAATGATTTTAGAAAAGAATCCATAGAGAAGCGGGAATTCTAAAAAACTGGGGGGGGGGGGGTGTGGGAGAGGGATGTCTAGCCACCACCGACCTTGATACCCTGCTCTGTTGGAAAGGCTCCCAGAAATATCAGCTGCTTAGAATTTTTAAACACAATGTGTAAATCTGATTCTTCATCAGAAAGGTTGGTATCAAGTTTCAGAAGCCTCCACTCAAATTAAAATTGTTATTCTTTCCCACTCTGTAGACTAAATTATGTACAAGCTTACTTGATTTTTAAGAAATCTTCAATTAGTTATATAGGTGTTTCTGTGAGCACACAGTGCCATATCAGGTCCTGTGGAAGGATAAAAATGAAATACATTGAGTAAAAGTACGGAAGTAGAAGGCATTGCTTCTACTCTTTAAGAACTGGACAGCTAGTTGAAAAGGTTAGATGAACAGGCATAAAGTGAAGGTTAAGTAATCAAGATGTAAACTCCAGCATGCTGTATAATAATCAGTATAATTATCAGCCATGTTATTAAACTCTGGACTTGAAAACCAAGAGAAAATGTCACATTAGCAAAATAACAAGGCTTCAGTGCATGACCCTGAAATAATAGGTTAATATAGTTTCAAATTATTTCATAGGCTCTTCCAATTAGTCAGCTTTTTCTGGCAGCAGATTTTTTTTTTAACTTTGAAACACTTTCTTCCTCTGGATCTATAAGTTATTCTTTATGGGTACGCATTTCCTGGTTTGTGTAACTATCTGAGGAATTTAGCTGGTATATTAGATTAGGTGGAAGCAGCATCTGTCATGCTGGACTAAATTAATATTTCCAAGATTTCTGCACGTGCATTGAAATGAGAAGTGATGAGAGACATATTGGAGCAAATTATATTTTACTGGTTTTGAAAATCAATAGTCGTAAACCCCAAATAGCCTAACTGAAACAAGTAAAATAATAGTGCTGTGATGTGCTTTTATGTGTATGTGTGTGTCTGTGTGTGTTTTAAAATAAATGTAACAACCAACCATAGGGGACCAACTGTCTCCTTTTTCAGATATTACTGGATCATCCGCTGTAAAGGCTCTGAGGCTTCATGTTTAATTATGTCTAGCATTTGAATGGTAATAGCACAGATGTTACCTGCCTATAATCCTCCTGCTCTCTACAGATTTTGCTTTGTTCTTGCTTCTCATTTTTGAGGTCCTGTACACAATTTGAAATTAATTAAAAACAGTAGAGCAACTTAGTCTGGATAAGCCTTCATCTGGCAAATAATGTTACACTGCCAGAGATTTCCTCTGCCAAAGTCAGTTCTCTTAATTCCTGTAGATGTGTATTCAACAAGCCATAGTCCCATTTAGACGCAGGCAGTAAATGCACGCAGTCTCAGCAGAGGTTAGATTCTCCTGCCTTGCCTTCCTCGTATTCCTCACTGGGCATTAATGACTTGCAAGTGATGTTCTCTTTCTCTTTTTTCTGTAGTACTAGCATTATGGATTTACAAATACCTGAGTGTTCATTACAACAAGGCTTGAAGTAGGAAGGCTGATATCATCTTCGTCTTCTGACAGATAAAGGAACAGGCTCAGTGAGAAAAAGAAACTTACTCAGGGGCACGGAAACTGACTCAGGGCAATTATAAATCACAAACTGGATTCCTAGTGCTTTAGGTTACTTTTGTTTAGTGGTATTTCACAGCCATATCCCTCTGATATTTCAAGGGACATCTGAAGAATTAATTGGTATGCAGCTCTGTGATTTTAACTACTGACCAGCTTCTCAGATTGAGTCACTTCCCATATATAAGAAAGTTTTAAGGACTGCCTTTTATTCCTGGTTTCCTTTGTGCAGTTGACAGTTTGGGTTTAATTTTCCAGCAGGGAAGTCAGGGCATACTCAGATACTGATTGTTACGCATAGGAGACATCTTTAGGGATCTGAACCTATTTTTTCGTTCTCATAAACATTTCTTCAGCTAAACATGTAACAGAACCACCACAGCAAGTAGAGGAAACACCTGTAGTCACCGACCAGATTTCATTTATTTTCTTTGTCATTTAAAAATCCATCCTCCATGAGTTTCACCGTCTTCTGATGGAAACCTAGGAGAGAAGCCTCTCTTAACGGTTATATATTGTCATATTGTTATTTCTAAACAGCCTGATGCAGATGTATTTCACATACCACCCAGTTCACCCATTTAAAGTGTGTAATTCAATGGTTTTAAGCATTGCCCTGCCATCTTCAATGGGCTTCTAGTCTTGATTTTGAAAATACCCAGGCTGCCTACTGTAGAAAGTAGTTCGCTTGAGATCTGTGAGAAACTCTTCACTCTGAGCACTGTGGGGTGGGTGGTGGGTACAGTTAAGAAGCCCCAGGCCCTGGCATGTTCACAATCTAAGCCTGAGGATTTCAGCTTCTGTTTTTATTACTCTAAGGAAGGAAACGAAGGGCTGTGTGCCTATTCCCAAGGAGAATGATTGCTGGTGTCTGGTGACTTGGCAGTGGGAAAAGATGTTTTTAGGGAACATAGGCCGTAAGGGCCTTAGGGAGAGTGGCCATGAGGGCAGGTAAGAATGGCTTTCCAAGGGGTCAGAATTAAAGAGTGGTCAAGAGAGGAAATTCTGATGTCAAGTAAACCTGCACCTGAGTTCTGCCGTTTAGCTAGCTGTGTGACCTGGGGCAGCTTCTCTAAGTCTCATTTTTCTCATCTTTAAAATGAGAAGAATGGTTGTACCCAATTCACAGAGTCCTCATGAGGATTAAATGAGGTGAACCATTTGCAGTTCTTAGCTCAGCATCTGGAACCATCTAAGTGTTCAATGAATATTTTCTGCTGTTATTTTTGGCTATTTCCTCCACTTGATTTATAAGCTTCTTGAGAGCAGGGACTGTGTGTTCACCACTGGACTCCAGCCCCCATCCTCAGGGCAGTCCAGAGTGTTGAAGTGAAATAGATGAATTCCCCCATCATCCGTTTATTTTTTGGATTTCTTCCTGACTTACTTATGTGCATACACATATGTGCCCATGAACATACACACACACATACACACACATGCACACTACTCCCCAAACTGACTTCCAGGCAGGAATTAGTAAAATTACTGCAAAAGTTTAAATTAAAAAACATATATTAGTTGTGTGGTATCCCATGATAATTCAATAAAAGGAGTGTAATTTCCAGGCACAATCAAGAGACCCGGAATGAATCTATGCTATGTAATGGTGTTCACCACAGATGGTGCTATGTATAATGACAGATCATTGGAAAGAGAAGAGCCAAGAGACTTGCCAATGGGTTTTGCAGTAGTAATGTGAGGAGATGCTTATAACCTGCACTGGGACTGTTCAGGAAGGGGAAGATGTCTGAGAAATGTTAGTGTAGACAGTTTTGATGGGCTATGTATAGTTTATGAAAGTTTAATATATATTATATAAACTGAGTTATCACAGTTATTTGTGAAAGGCTAGGCTAATAGTATGATAATGATCTCTGTTTACAATTAGCTAAGTGTTAGGTGTCAGCAGGATATCTAAGTGCAAAGAACCAAAGAGAGGGGACTAGATGTACTTTGAAGAGGAGCCTGTCTAACCCTCTGACCTCTGGAGAGGCCTCCCCTGAGCCTGTTTATTTATGTCTCACATCATTTTGGAAAGGTCTTGAGGCAGATCCCTGGCTGTACTGCCAGTCAGAAGACACTGTCGGGGATCCATTTGGGATAGAGTTCAAAGGCAATTGGGTTTTTGGTCCGTGGGGAAACTGGTACCTTTTTTTTTTTTTTTTTTTTGAGATGGAGTCTTGCTTTATGGCTGCTGCTTGCCTGTTGAGACTCTTCTACTGCCTGGCTGACCTGTGCCAGAGACAGTTTTATTGGATATAGAAAATTCCAAGAATGGAAAGGCAGGAAAGTTAGGATCAAGGAAAGCACCTCTAAAATGCCTGAATAATTCCCTGTTAGTTATTTCACTAACTATGGTCAGTTCTGGTATTTTCTTACTTAAGACTTCTTTGAGACTTCCTCTGACACTGCTCCAGTCTTGCATGGGACTGACATTCCTGGGGTGATTTTCACAGGAATCATCTTGGACCATATCCAAGACTGGACACAGCTGTATTGTTGCTGTGATCATGTATATGTTTCAGAATGCTTTCTACTATGGTTCAATGCAGCTAATGTATGATTTTTTTTTTGGTCTTGATTACTTTTTATGCACAATGATTATAATACTTTATTCATTTATGTGGCAGTACTGAGTTTTTCCATAGTCAGAAGGATGTTGAGAACTAATGTTAAATCTATGGAAGGGAAAGTTGTGTTTGTTTTTTTAGATGGAGTCTCACTCTGACACCTAGGCTGGAGTGCAGTGGCACGATCTCAGCTCACTGCAACCTCCACCTCCCAGGTTCAAGTGATTCTCCCATCTCAGCCTCCAGAGTAGCTGGAATTACAGGCATATGCCACCACACCCAGCTAATTTTTGTATTTTTGGTAGAGATAGGGTTTCATCATGTTGGCCAGGCTGGTCTTGAACTCCTGACCTCAAGTGATCCACCTTCCTTGGCCTCCCAAAGTGCTGAGATTACAGGTGTGAGCCACTGCGCCCTGCCAAGATATTTTTGTTCAAATTCAAATAAAGGTTATGGGTATTAACCTCAGCCTCTGGAAAATTATTTCTAATAATTTGAAGTTATCACCAATATTGTTTTTCCCAAAGTGTGGTTTAACCCGTCTAAGAAGAAAGAAGGATATGCAAATTTAAGCTATCCCTTTTTCCTTCAATATTTGTAGGTTTTTAGACAACATACTACTCCCTTCCCACCACAAAGCTCTCAGATTCAGAAACGGGTGATTTTATCCTAGAAGAAGATGCTATGAAATATTATTTGTCAACATTTTATGTGCTTAAAAATAATATGAGAATGGTAGCGTGAGGAGTTCAGTAAATTTCCTTCCCCAAAACAATGACAAAACTGTACAAAATTATCAAAACCAACCATTTATGAGCTCCTGAAATCAAGCACAGGCATACAAAAATAGAAAAGCTTTTATTCAGGAAAAAGTACTGACCCTAGCTAGATAAGAACAGTGGGTGTCTATGGCATTTTAGCCTGAGTCTGCTCGTCTCCTCACCCCATCTCCTTTGGTATAGGCAAACTAGGAAAACCAGCAGCTTTGTTATCGGGGGGCACCGACTTTGATTTGGAGCAGAGCAGAATGTGGGAAAACCTCATGCTGTTGAGTGTTGTCAGAAACATTAGCAATCTCAGTGGCAGAGACAGGGAACACCAACATTGCAGCTGGCCTGAAGTTGTGATTCCAGGTGGGGCGGGGAAGTTAAAAAATCAACAAAAGAATTAGAATTAAAATAGTATATTATAAAGTATTTAACATTAAAGAAGGCATAAAGGACAAATAAAGAAACAAAAAGGTGCTAGACATCATGGTAGGCAAAGATATCAGCATTGTAATGCCCCCCAGTATGTCTATATCCTAATTGGTGTGATCCATGAGTAGGTTACCTTACATGGCAAAGAAAATTAAGATGGCAGTTGAAACTAAGGTTGCAAATCAGCTGGCCATCAAATAGGAAGATTACTCTGGATTATGCAGGCAGGTCCAATAGACTCACGAGGATCTCTGAAAGTGGAAGAGGAAGGCAGAAGGGTCAGTGTCAGATAATGCAATGTGAGAAAGACTGGTTGGTTTCTAGGTTGGTTTAATGTCGGAAAATCAGTTAATATAATACATCATATAAATATAATAAATGATAAAAAACCATACGATTATCTTAATAAAAATAGATAAAACATTTCAAAAAATTTAACACCCATTCAATAAAGTAGGAATAGAAGGAAAATTCCTTAATTTGATAAAAATGCATCTATGGAAAACCTGCAGTTCACATACATAGTGGTGAAAGATTGAATGCTTTACTCCTGATATAAAGAACAATACCAAGGATGCATGCTCTTGCCACTTCTATTCAGTATTGTGCTGGAGCATCTTTAAAATGCAATCAGAAAAAAATGAAATAATATAAGGTAGCCTGATTAGAAAAGAGGAAGTAAACTGTCAGTATTCATAGATGACGTAATGCTGTTTGTGGAAAACCTTAAGGAACCGACAAAAAAGCCCCTACTCAAACTAATAAGTGTAACAAAGTTGCAGGATACAAGATCAATATATAAAAATCTATTTTATTTTGTATATTAACAATGAACAACCCACAAATCAAATAAAACAATTCTATTCACAACATCATTAAAAAGAATCAACTACTTAAAAATACATTTAACAAAAAAAAAACTTAAGTACTGTAAAGTACCAAACATTGCTGAAAGACATTAGTGGAGAGAAGACTTAATATTTGTTAAGACGGAAATTTTCCTAAAACCAATTCATAGATTCAGCACAATGCCTATCAAAATACCAATAGGCTTTGTATTAGTCTGTGGTCACACTACTATGAAGAAATACCCCTGCTTGAAACTGGGTAATTTATAAAGACAAGAGGTTTAATTGACTCACAGTTCCACATGACTGGGGAGATCTCAGGAAACTTACAATCATGGCAGAAGGCATCTCTTCACAGGGTGGCAGTAGAGAGAATGAGTGCTAGCAGGGGAAATGCCAGAGGCTTATAAAACCATCAGATCTCATGAGAACTCACTCGTTATCACAAGAAGAGCATGGGGGAAACTGCCCTTGTGATTCCCTTACCTCTCATCAGGTCCCTCCCAATGGGGATTATGGGGATTACAATTCAAGATGAGATTTGGATGGGGACACAGCCAAACCATATCAGGTTCGTTTATAGCAATGGACAAGCTGATCCTTAAAGAAGAAGTATAGCTTTAAATATAAATATTGGAAACCTCAGCAAGCTTTGTTTTTGGTAGTGTGCTAACACTTCTGTGGAAGTGCAAAGGTCTCAGAATAGCCATATCATCCTGAAAAAATAAGAACTATGTTGAAGGACTTATACTGCATACCTTAAAAGTTACTGTAAGACTACAGTTAGCAAGATAGTACAGTATTAGCAAAAAGATAGTCATATAGATCAATGGAACTGAATTCTAGGATTCTAGGAATAAATTCTTACATTTAAAGTTGTTGATTTTCTGTAAAGGTATCAATGCAATTCAATAGGGACAATGGTGCTAAGGAAATGGGACAGCTACAAGCAAAAAGATTAATCCTAAATGTCAAGAGCTAAAATTATGAAACTTCAATAAGAAACATAGGAGAAATTGTTAGTACATTGGGTTGGACAAAAATTTTTTACATGCAACACCAAAAGCAAGATCTATACATTTTAAAATTTAATACATTGGGCATCATCAAAATTGGAAACTTTTGAATATTAAAAGACACATCAAGAAAGTGAACAGACAACCCATAGAGAAATGGGAGAAAATATTTGCAAATCATACATCTGATAAGGGATTCTGTATGAAATGTATAAAGAAGTCTTATACCTCAATAATAACCTGAGAAAAGAAAAGAAAGAAAAGAAAAAATACGTGGAAGATTTGAATAGACAGCTCATCAAAGAAGACAAATAGCTAACGAGCACATGAAAAGATGTTAACATCATTAGTCATTAGAAGAAATACAAATTAAAACCACCATGAAATACCACTTCTTACCTATTAGAATAGCGTCATAAAATTGACAGATGGTAACAAGAGGCAGTGAGAATGTGGAGAAACAGGAACCCTCATGCATTGCTGGTGGGAACTTAAATGGTTACAGCCACTTGGAAAACAGTTTGCCAGTTTCTATAAGGTTCAACGTAAGCTTACCGTAGAATCCAGCAATGTCATTCCTGGGTACTAGGTGTCTGCCATAAGAAATGACCTTATGCGTTCACACACAAACTTTTACATGAATGTGTATAGCTGCATTATTCTTAATGGCCCCAAATTAAAAATAATCCAAATGTCCATCAGCAAATGAATGGATAGTCAAATGTGATACATTCATATACATGAATGTAAATGTGATATTTTAATATATAAACAAACATGCTATATATTAAATGTGATATATTGCAAAATGTTCTGCGACAAAAAGGAATGAATGATCAAGACATGTTACAATATAGATGAAATGCAAAAATATG